GAACCCAGTCATTGTTTCAGCAAAACATAGCTTTTTATTGTGCTTTAATTTCTAGATTTACAGGTAACAGCTGTTCATTTGACAGCTAAAAAAATTTAATAGCACAAATCCTTGGGACAGTTTCCTGATGCCCACATTCTTAAATGGCATGAAGCAATAATAACAAGGTTTTGCTTATCTTTTACTCTTAGATATGACAAAGGGGTCCACTATTCAAAGGCAATCACAATTCAAGTGATGCCTCCTCTTGAACTCCCAGAATGCTACTTAAAACCTTTCCCCAAACTTAAAACACAGCAGGCAATATGAGGAACTGTCTTTAAAAACTGCTTTCTGACAGCTACATTCCAGATTTTTTTTGTATTTCTGTATTGGAGGCTAAAGTTATTTTTTAAAGAATTATTTTGCTTGAGAGGGAGCAGGAAAGCTTCAAAGGAATCTCTCCAAATAAAAGGGAAGTTTGGGTGGACTGTGTGTGCTTCTGGGTTTATTCCTGTTTTCTTTAAATTTGCTTATCTCTTTAAAATCCTATCTGAGGTTTAAATAATGTTAATACAATCTGAACATTTTAATGGATGCACTCCAGTTTGTAGAACCTCATCTGTTTCAGAAACTGGAAAGATGGATGAAGAAATGGAGTCATCTGCTGCTCTGCCAAAGTATGGTCTGATATGGATTTATTTCTAGAAACATTGGCAGTGTGTTTTGTTTTGTGCCTTTGGAAGCCGAGGACATATTTGCTCCTTCTGAAGGGGAATATGAAGTAATAATAGGAAGAACTAAACTATAAAATAATATGCATACTTTCCCTCTGTTATCTTACAGAAAAAGTATGTTGTATAAATGGCTTGAATTAAATGCTCATAACTGGAGCAATACTTTAAAGATGCCGCTGTGCCAATCAATTTGCAGTAAATCCTGAGCTGATTGACACAGAAAACTCTACCCCCCCCTTTTTTTTTGCTGATACAGAATCAGCAACATGGAATCTGTTCCAACAGAACCTATTTAAAAAGCAATTGCTTATTTTGGGTTGCTGAAGAAGCAATTGCTTATTTAGGGTTAAATGCAGATGAGCTTTAAATAATTTTGTGCTGTCCATGTATCGAAATTGAAAAAAAAATTATTAGGCTGCACTTGAGTAACCAAAGCACATTGTCATGCCTGATCTTATGAAGCACGTTTCTGTTTCTGTTTCTCACAAACAGATTTGGAGCAGTGTTTCTGTGGGATACTGGTTCTTCAGTAGGTGAGATCGCAGGCCACAACAAAGTGATCAATAGTGTGGATATTAAACAGACAAGGCCCTATCGACTAGCGACTGGCAGTGATGACAACTGTTCTGCTTTCTTTGAAGGGCCACCATTCAAATTCAAGTTTACAAAAAATGTAAGTTAGCTTTGTCTGTTACCTGTATGCAAACTTTACTGCCAAGATGCAGCCGCCACCACCTGACTCGTGAAGCAACAGACAGCACTTTTCTTGTAGTCTTTAATAAAATGGCCCTTTGCACTTCACAGTGAGGTGTTCAGAGGGCATGTGGGCAGAAGGGGCCTTGTAAAACTCCATATGGATAAGCATAAGATCACTCATGCCACTTTGAGAGCCACCTATAGTGTTTTGCAGAATTACAGCAAATCTTGGATAGGGTTGTGACAATTTTAACCTTGAATCAAGCTCTCTGCAGTTCACAGACTTCCTCTCATGCTTTGTCCTGGCTTAGCAAGTGAATGAAGCAGACCAAACTCTGCAAATGCTTATGTAATCCCCATTAGGCAACCAGGACCCTTCTGCATCACGCAGAACACAGGCAGAGGCTGCAAATCACATGCCTGGAAGTGGGGCACCACTTGTGCAGGGTTCGATGTGCTCACCCAGAAGTCAGACCCATGGCCCCAAGAAAGCAGGCTGGGACCTGTTTTAGGGGTGGGGAGTGGTTCCTCTCTTTCTTCTAATACAGAGTTGAACAGAGCACAACTCTTCAAAGTGCACACTTTTTTGTTTGGGTGTATGAAACTAAACTTACATTGAAAATCAGCTCTCCATTCTTTATCCCTATATAGATGTGCCTACATGTAATGGAGGGCCAGGGTTGCACTAGTGTGCCTGGAACTAAATGAAGTCTGTACACTAGAATTTATGACTGAATACTGCCCTATGAGCTACATCTGCTGGCTTCCCCCATCTGGCACCTATGGAATGGGGCAGATGAGAATTGAAGTCTAAAATATCTAGGGAGCACCAGACAGGGGAAGGCTACTGTACTGAAATGCAGATTTTTGGGCAGATCCAGCAGTACAAGTATACTGTGCACAAGATGTAGCCACATCTGAAAAATACTTTTGTAAATGTGTTCATTTCCTTGTTATATTTTAATCCACCCAGTCACCAACTGTCAGTGCTATGTATGATAGCTTCAGGTACAACATGTAATGTCTGTGCATTTTTGAGAAATAGGCACTTCGGCAACAGTTGCAGTGGCATTCCTGGGTAATGTACTTTATCCATATTAGAGAGAGATTTATGAGGCCTTGCAGATTAATCCACGGGCTTCTGATAATGCAATCTTTGGAGGGAGAGTTTTGCAGGTGGTCTCTGTTGAGGCAGGGAATGAATGTATGGAACAGCATGACAGATGGTTGTCTGTTTCATCCTGCAAGCATTAGGAGGATTTGACACTTTGGTGGGGAAGCCTGATCAGTTGTGTCCTTACAAAGAGTGTTTACATTAACCGTAAACAGAAAGGGAGCGCTGTTCTTCTTCCCCGTCTTCTGGACTGCTCTACTGTCTAACAATGGTTTTCCTGTCTTCCCGTTATGACCTTCCTCCAGGATGGCCATGATTTGTGTGTTCTCCGCACTTTGCATGAAGCAGGAGAGACAGGAGCTGTGCAGTCCACAATGGGCTGATAGAAAGCAATAGGTACAGGGCTAGGCAACCTGTGGTGCTCCAGATGTTGTTGGATTGCAACTCCCATCATCCCTCATCTGTGCTGTCCAGGGCTGATGAGGAGTTGCAGGCCAACAACATCTGGAGGGCTAGAAATTGCACATTCCTGAACAAGCAGAAAACAAAGCAACTGGAGTAATTCATCTGGGAACTGACATTCTGGTGTTGTTTGTCTTCTCTAGGACCACAGCCGTTTTGTTAACTGTGTGAGGTTTTCTCCAGATGGAAATAGGCTTGCTACAGCCAGTGCAGATGGCCAGGTAAAATTAGCCATTTCTTACTAACAGGGTACCAGAGGGATATGGAGCAAAGAGCCTCTATAGCCTGTGCTTTGAACTCAAAACTTTCCATGTTCATTCCCAGTACATCTGCTTAAAAGCATCTCTGCTAGCAGGCCTAGGAAGGACCTGTGTTTAAAAGCCTGAAGACTCGCTGCTAGGCAGAGGAGATAATACTGAGCCATATGGACTAGTAGCTTGATTCTGTATAAGGCAATGCCATACATCCATAAGTGGACGAGTCTCCTTTGACTTATGCTGAGTGATTATTCTTTTGCAACTGATGTGCATGGCACTCTGGAGTTTGTAAGCAAAATAATTGCAGGTTGCTACCTTCAAAAAACTTAGGCTTTAAATTCAGTGCCGAAGGAGACAATAGAGAAGAAAATAAGATCAGATGAAATAATATGTTGCACTTAGTTGCCATTGGGAATGTGGGTTGAAGTATTAAAGTCTTGTAGGGAAGGTGCATTTTGAAGGGAACAGAATTGGTTCCATGTTCAGCCTGATTGCATTGTGTGAAATTCTCAGGGAAATCAGCATGCAACTGTGATATGCACCACTATATTGCATGTGGTGACTATGACAGTTCAATACTGTCTGAAAAGAGCTTTTCAGAACTTGGTTTGAACTGAGCTCTTCTGAGTGTGGCTCAGTATGAATATGGCAATGGGAATTCTTTTTGAAGAAGTCATCAGACCATTCACTGTGTGTCTTGGAGGACACTCAAGAGGGGTGGTAGTGTGGTCATGAAATTGTGGATCCCTGTCTGGATTGCTTTCTTGGTCAAATTTACAGGCTTGCTCATCAACCGGTGCCAGGTTTAGGTGTGAAGTGACCTTGGTCCTGTGTCCTCTGTTGGGAACATTCCTCTGACAGTAGATGGTGGCAGGTTTACCAGGTAGCAGCTAGTGTCCAAGCAGTTGAGTCTTAGCTGCCACTGTAATTTATTAAATAGCATGCTCTGACCTTAAATGGCAGCTAGGTGGACAAGGGTGGGAACCTGTGGCCAGTAGCATCAGCCCGTAATTTTTTAAGGGGTTGATGGCATTCATCATTGGTGGGCCTTATTACAGTGTTGGGGCCTGGACAGATGCCCAAGGATGGTAGGCACTGGAGCTGGCCCCATGGTAAACAACTTCTGTCAGTCTAAGGATTCTGGTGTGGCTGTGAATATTTAAGCACAGCAGCTGTTCAGGCTGTGGCAGGCTGGCACAGCGGACAGAACTCCCTGTATTCAGACACGCAAATGTTCTGATGAACTAATACCTCAGTTCAGACATACTTCCCTGTATTTCAAGCATTTGGATTCTTAGGTCATGATTTTTTCTTAAAATGGATATTGAAAATCAACTTTGCATTTCCCTTCATATCAAAAGATTCACAGTTTCTTTTGAAATACTCCAGAATTCAGTTTCTACAAAAATATTTAACAAGTTTGTCTCTTTTTGGTGTTAAGATTTTTATTTATGATGGAAAAACTGGAGAGAAAGTTGGTGCTCTAGGTGGAAGCAAGGCACATGATGGAGGCATTTATGCAGTAAGTATATCTGGTTCCCCAGCTCCCTGTCTTGTTTGGGTTGTTATAGTATATTGCTTTGTACAGTTACTTCAGTTCTATTAACTCTGCTTTTACTTGAAGAGCTCAAAATAGTGCCTAGTTGCATAGCATCTAAAATTGCATGTTATGTTTGGCAAGTGTGGCAGACACTCAGTCATTTGTCAGGCACTTTGGAATTGTTTTCCCTAAAAGGTAGCATATAAATCATTTAAATAACATTTAACTCTATTAATTTGTTCCCAAGGGAAAAGGCCAGTTCTGCCAACATTCCTTTGCTTCTAGGGTTAATGCTTTCAGCATAAGCCATGCCAAGGGTCATAGGCACAGTTGCAGCAATGCTTTTTGGACCCAGCATCTAGATTCTTGTTCCAGTTGTTTACATGTGGCTTTTAAATCTTGTAGTGAAAGTGTATGGTTTTGCTCGCTAACTGTATTTTATATTATATTTTATACACTGTTGTAAACCACCCAAACAGCTTAAGCTACTGGGTGGTATAGAGTTGTTATTATTACCACCTCCTCCACCACTGGCATCATCATCCTGCCAGAGAGCATCAGTTTGGACAACAATAGATTTAACTCTAATCAAACTGATTCATTTGAAACTTCTTGTTCAATGAAGGTGGCCCTTTATTTGAAGCAGTTCCCTGCCACGTTTTACAAACACGAGTACTTCTACAAACTGTGATAAGAGTGATATTTGCAATATTATGTTCTTAATGTTCTATTGTGATGTGTTTTTAAAGTGATACATTTTCTTGAAAGTTATCAGTGCATGAGTGAAATGAGAGGGTGTTATAGAGAGGAGTAATTTAAATGCATTAGGCACTGGAAAATTTTCAGACACATGCCACTTGAACTGGAATGTAACCAGACCTCAAATAAGATGAAGAACAGTTTTTAAAACTGAACCTTGGGGCAGTGCCTAAAGGGTTAAGGTGCTTTGGTTCCCTAGGGGATGGAAGAGAACATGATTTTCATCATTCAAGTGAGGACAGCTTGCCAAGCTCTTAGCCTTTCCTTTAAACGCTGAAAACGCTGAAAATTGATTTGAAAACAAAGAAATCTCAGAGTCAGATAGTATGCACCTTAGAGAATTCAAATGTGCAGTTGCTGATCTTCTCACAAAAGCACATGACTGGCCACTGTGGAAAACATGATGCTTTGGGATTATCCAGCAAGGCTTTTCTTATTTCTCTATTGTCTTTCTCAGACCGTTTATTGAAGATTTCCCTGAAATCAGCTACTGGGTTCTATTTTATCAAAAATGTTTTCTGGAATGGCATCAGTTTATGTTCAGTGCGCCTTATTCCCTGGCAAGTCAATATAAGATTTCAGTCAAAGCCTTCTTAAATTGCCTTGTCAGACCTCATTTTCAGTAGTCAAGAAAAATTCATACAGAATTTAAGAAAATTAAATGTATATTTCCCCTAGTTTTGCCTCACTACATACACACCATAATTGGAAAATGCTTACTGTGATGTGGCACTGCTCTTATTATGGAGACTGAGCTCCCAGACGGTCTTCCAGTTCACCACTGGAAATTCCAACACAGGCGAGACCCTCTCCAGTGCATAGGTTGTGGATCTACTTCTAAATCTGTTTTCTTTTAATAGATTAGTTGGAGTCCAGATGGCAATCGCCTGCTTTCAGCTTCTGGAGACAAAACAGCAAAGATTTGGGATGTTGGTGCTAATAGCATAGTGAATACATTTAACATGGGATCAAATGTTCTGGATCAACAACTGGGTTGTCTGTGGCAAAAAGACCACTTACTGACTATTTCTCTTTCTGGATACATCAACTATCTGGATGAGAACAACCCAGACAAACCTCTTCGAGTCATAAAGGTCTGTTGGATTATTATTAAAGAGCAATGCTTAAAGTAAAGCTAAAGAAACCAGTTCCTAAATGTTTGAGGGTAGAGAAACATCAAAAATCAGAATACAAAAAGTGCTAATATGTCTTCGAAGCAAGTTGATCAAAGCATAGTGTGTGGCCAGAGTCCAGCAAACCCTAGCCAATTTCTATATGCCAAGCCCAGAGGACTTCTTAAGTTGCAGTCCTTCTCTTCTCTCCTTTGTTTCCTCTTTTGGAACTGATCAGATACTTCGTTAATACATCACAGGTGCTTAATGTTCCAAGTGGTAGGAAAACCCCCTACAATTGGCAGGTGGAAGTAGTTGTACTCGTCCTCCACACACAGCCACTACCTGACCATGTCCCTGCTTTTTTTTGTGCCTTTTTGTATTCTGATGCATATCTGTCTGGGGTTTCTGCTATCCTGTCTGCTACCTTCAGTCATTTGGAGGTTACCTTCTCTGTTAAGTTATTCTGTTTATTCACCCTGGCTACCTGATTATTCCTCAAACACCTGCCCACATGATAAACTACTCTCTCCTCACATCTGCCCTCAGGGACCGATCCTTAGTGCCCATCCTCTGTGCAAACTAGGCCAAAGTTTATGCAGATGAACAGAATGCATATTCTTCCCCTGTTTACAATCTCTCCCTCATTCCTCCCCCATGTCACAATTTGAATTGTAAACTCCCCTGAGCGGGACCAATATTCGGGCATTACTCCATGGAGCACCATGCATCTTGATGACTCTGTAGTAATAATAAAGCATCAAATCTTTTTCTGGGCTCATGCAAGCATAAAACATCTATTGGAATTGTAGCCAGGGTTTCTGGATCAAAATGCGTTTATATTTGTATAACGTGTTGAAAAGTGCAGTCCATGAAGTGCTTATGACTATGTCAGACTTTAGGTTTTGCTTGCATTGGAGAACACTAGAAATGCAAAAGGCAGATAGGCATTGGGATGAGAGATTTGGGGCTATTGGGCAGTATAGAAATGAAATGAGTAAAATACAGAAGGTAATTCTGTTTTGTTTATAGACATAATTAAGATTCAGAGAGCTTGAAATCAATCTCTCCTTTTTTTACACAAGATAGTTCCATGTCTGCCATGTGCAAACCTGTTCTTAGCCAAAGGAGATGGGGTTATAAAGAAGTTTTTTAAAGAGAACTGGGGATTTTGCCAGATATGGGGGCAGGACAGAGGGGATGTCACTTTTGGCTAAGTGCAAACGTCCATATACTTTAAGCTTCTGTTCATGAAACTACAGCCTTTTTTAAACATTCAAATATAACTCTTTACAATAATTATGTGTGTTCTCTTGCAGGGTCACAGTAAATCAATACAGTGTCTTACTGTGCATAAAAATGGGGAGAAATCTTATATTTATTCTGGGAGCCATGATGGACATATTAATATCCTTTGACTAAAACATATTAACAGAGAAAAATGTGATGTACTGTACAGCACTGTGCTGTCTTCTGTATTCCCCCTTTTCTGTAATATTTGCTACTCGGTTAAAACTTCTTGGCATACGATATAGTATTGGAGCACAGTTCTCATTTAAACTGCTAAGTAATAGTCTAATATTCAGCTCTCTCATTGAAGCCCCTGTTTTCAGTGTAATTTTTAGTGCTGCTGTCTGAGTTGGCTAAATTTTGAACATAAACTACCCCACATGATGAATACCTTTTGCAGCCATCCCAGCTTGAATTTCAAGCTTCCTTTGTGTACCGCCATGCAAGATTCAGTGCTGGATGTTTTCCACAAGGTATTTTTAAGCAAATTCTATTGTACTGTTACCATGGCAAGTACCTCCCCAAAGTACTCTGTAAATGCTCCCCCTCAAGGTATTCTGTATGCATTTCTTTGTGAGTCATGTGTTTTTTGCCTTACAGTACTTGTTTCAAGAGCTTTTGTAACCTTGTGCTATTAAAGCTTCATTCAAATTTACAGTGGCATTTTAGTATTGTTAAGCTGTGGGACTAATCATAAGCCACCTGGATTCTCATCTAGTTTGGCCTTAAATGTGCTTGTTGTCCTGAAACTTACTAGCATAATTTTGGAATTATGTCAGCTTGATGTATGGGATAAGTATTGGAGCATCCTGTTTTCCTCATGTTGAAGACTATTTCCTTAATATTTTCCTAACATTATTGGGATGCTGAGACAGGGGAAAATGATGACTTTTTAGGGAAAGGACACACAAACCAGGTTTCACGAATGGCTGTGGATGAATCGGATCAGCTGGTCAGCTGTAGCATGGATGATACTGTGCGTTACACCAGTCTTAGCAAAAAAGACTACAGGTAGAGGCGTGTCATGTTTGCCAATATTATTTAGCGTCACCATAAAATTAAAATGGCCCTTCAGGCCATCATACTTACTTTGTTAGTATGTCTGATAACAAGATATCACAGTGTTTTGTTTTGTTTCTTTTTTTGGCAATCAACATTGCCTTTGGTGTTCTGGTAACATCAGTTTTACCATCCTAAGTAGATCAAGTTTGTAAGTGCTGCAGTGGCTGTTTAGATAGTTGCAAACTCATAATTGTGTTTGTCCAAATATTACCACAGTAGGGAAATAATTCTTATATTTTTTTGTAAATATATTTTTTTAATCACAGGGAAGATGGTCCCAATAGCAGGTGCACTCGGGGGGGTGGAGACGGGTGCAATTGCGGACGTGCTTGTGCAGGGAAGACGGGCACAATCACAGCCATCTCCCCCCTGAGCATGATTGCGGCCATCTCCCCCCCTCCCACCCCGAGCGCGACTGCAACTGTGCCCGTGCATGGAAGCCAGGTGCGGTCACAATCGTCACGTGATGTAGAGTTCGCAACCTGAAGAATTTTTTTTCTGAAATTTCTGTTCACAACCCAATTTGGTTGTGAACTGAGGCATTCGTGAGCCGAGGTACCACTGTAATAACCTGGGTCTAATTCTCATTATTTGGAAGTGAGAAATAACATCACACCTTTGTCATCTCTTGACTTAACTACTGCAGATGCCTCCTGTCTTCTGTTCTGGTACTCTGAAGATAGAAGCCTTCACTGGCTTCCCCTCTGGTCCCAGATTCATCATATGCTCCTTACCCTTGCTTCCAAAGTGCTCCATTGTCTTGTTGCCCTTCTCTCTACTGTTTATATCCTGATATATCTTTGCCAGTATCCTTCACTCATCCAGCTAAAGAAAAGCTCTTTTTCTTTCCCACAGTGGCCAAGACATTGTAAAAATGGATGTTCAGCCAAAATGTATATCTGTTGGAGCTGGTGGATATGCAGTGGTCGTATGCATTGGAGAAGTGAGTATCAGAAAAACTGGTGACAATCCATTACTTCATTCATGTACTTAGTTATTATATGTATATCCTGCCTTTTCCCCAATGAGTCCAAGTAGAAATAAGTGATTCTCTTTCCCACCACACCCTCATTTGTCATCCAAAAATCCTGGGAGGTAGATTAGGCTAGGAAGGAGAGCAACTAGCCCCAAATATGCCCAGTGGGCTGGGTTTCTGCTGTTAGATTCCTAGGAAAAAAGCTGTTCATTTATTAGGAAGGCCTCCACCACTGAATGGATTCAATGGAATGTGGTTACGGGAGCCACAGGGGACGAAACTCCATGTAGTCTTGGTTCCCAGTCTTGCGGAGGCTCATGCATCAAGCAGGTGTCGTTACAGCTGTTCTGCAGAGCTTTGCCATCATTGTAGGAAGATGTGTACATGTACCTTTTGATTTCTTTCAAGCTGTTTCTTGAAATTCAAGGTGTTTCTTGACACTTGGAATTTAAAAAGCGGGGGATGTAGCTAAATAACATGCTCTCCCACATTCTAACATGTGGTACAGATCACTAGGAAATTTTTCTGTGTAGGTTTAGCAGAAATGAGAGGGAGTTGTGAATAGCATGTCAATTTTCAGCACTGCTCTTGTTTGATATAATTGAGCTTGTGCAAGAAAACAGTGATTCTATCTTCCATTCTTACAGTTGCCAAAAACTGTCTTGCCTTCTTTCATGTTAGGACTGCCTCTACTTGAACATAACAATTGAATGAAGACTGCTATTCCTAATAAATAATAATGAATGCTATCTTCATAGGTAACCTGAAGTTGTAATTCTATGGGGCTGTGCCAGGCTTCCCGTGAAAAATTGACCTTTTTCATAACTAGCATAACTGAATGTTTAAAAAATGTTAGTCCTGAGTGTTAAACTAAATTAACGTATTTTGCTGTTCCTTAGGGGTATTCTAGTTGATGGACCATTGATGCACTATAGCTTCCTGTGTGTGAACTCTGGCACATTGTGCAGACCCTCCCAGTCGCAGTGTAAATGTGTGAATGCCAATGCCACACAGGCAGAACTGGGCATCTCTTACCCTGTTTTCACTTTTCCCACAGAGCGGAACTTAAATGGGAAGGCAGATTAAATTGTTAGTGCTGCCCATATTGAAATGCCATGGGTATATGAATGCTGTGGGGACTCAGGGTACAAATTACTTGGATTTAAAGGGTAGGAAATGGCTCTTTCAGAAACGCTTTGAGTGCTTCATTTGTCTAGTTCAGATGGAAATGGCATAACTTTCTGCAATTACAGATTGTCTTGATGAAGGATAAGAAGAAATGCTTTGTAATTGATAACCCCGGTTTTGACCCAGAAGCAGTCGCAGTTCACCCAGGAGGTGGCATGGCAGCAGTTGGAGGAACAGTAAGGATGTTATTTTCCTCACAGAGGTAGCATTCTCTGATCATTATACCCTTGGCAGCTACTACAGCAGCATGGCAATAAATGTGATAAAATTCTCCTTATGATAAAGTAATTTTAGGTGCTCTCTGAGCCTTAGTGCTCCTTGCCCTAAAGCCAGCTTTTGCCCCTAGTGTTCCTTCCCCATCAGTGCCTCTGCTGTTTCTGTAACCATAATAAGTGCATGCTCCTAAGCATGAACCACGTTATATCCTGACAGGAGCAAGGTGCAAACAGTTTCTGCTTTTAAGCCGTATCTCAGTGTTGGCAGTAATGGCTATGAAAGCTGGCAAGCCCATTTAGGACAATTTGTACACACTGAACAGAGCTTGACCCGGTAATGTTTTGATTTTCAGGATGGAAACGTGTACTTGTATGCAATCCAGGGAACATCTTTAAAAAGAGAGGAAAAGACGTTAGAAGTAAAAGGTCCTGTGACTGACCTGGCTTACTCTCATGATGGTGCCTTCCTTGCAGTGACAGATGCAAGCAAGGTTGTCAGTGTGTTTAGTGTTGCTGATGGCTATGCGGTAAGGCCCAGTCTTTGACCTCTGTTCTGAGTGCTTTTTCTTTCATTTCTTAAAAATAAAGACAAAATTGTAGCTTCACCCACTCTTGGCACAAAACAAACCAAATCTTGTGCTGTGAGCATTTTGCTTTTATGTCACAGATTTCCACATACAGGTTTATTTATTTAAAAGCTGCTGCAGTAAAACTACCATTATTGTTCATAGTTATGGAGGGGTGCTACATGCATAAAACTTGTAAGTGTCAAACTTACTAATTGAAGGAACAGTGCAGTATGCTAATCAAAGTATTAATAGAAAAAATAATAAAAGCCTGATCTTGGAATCTATTACCCTCGTGTGTGTGAAGTTACAAGTAGCATTTGATGGAGAAATTTATTTAGCTGTCCTCGTTTCATGTACTGTGTATTATACAGCTTCTGCGCAATTAATTAAGGTTTTTAAATTGTAGACTGATCATTAAATTTTAGGATCCTTTTCAAATCATGGTCTTTTTTGCATATTTTCATTTTCTCCTTCTAAATAGGAACATAATCTATTCTATGGACACCACGCAAAAATTGTTTGTATTGCCTGGTCACCAGATAATGAACACTTTGCTTCTGGGGGCATGGATATGATGGTTTATGTTTGGACACTGAGTGACCCAGAAACCAGAGTCAAAATACAAGGTAATGATACACTTTTTGTAACAGACAAATCTAATTTTGGAGCTCTAGCTTGATAAGAAAGTGCTCACCAGTTAAAATTACCCAGTTTATTTATAGCAAATTACATTTGATTCAGAAATGAAAATAGTTTTCAAGGAAATTATAGGTCTGAAAATGAGAGCTTAACTCAAGAGTGAATAGGCTTAATTCTGAACAATGAAGGCTGCGGTTTTGCTCACACACAATGAGGTGGGTGCAGAGGGTCTGCTGTAGTGTCTTGATATCGCCTCTTCCCTTCCGCGGTAGCAGCTCTTCTCCTGATCCAGTGCCACGCAACAAGGCCTCCCAGCAGTTTTCTCTGCAGTCCCTGTGCATAGGTAACTCACAGCAGAAGCAGACACAAGGGCCTAGGGGACCAGAGCATGCTGCTAGATGCTGAAAGACGAAGTCTCTTGCATGGTCACTAAAGAGTGACCATATTGTAACATGTCGCCTCTAAAATATAGTCTCCTTCTATATGTGCCTAACCATAACTGGAGATCTTCATCAGAGGTCCTCTTGTATGTCTCGCCACCGAGAGAGAGAATGTAGGTGAGAACACCAGGCAGGGCTTTTTCTGTAGCAGAATCTCAGCTGTGAAACTCCATCCACAGAGCTCCCTCACCCAGCTTTTAAAGATTAGACAGGCAGTAAGCACTGCATGGTTTTGCCAGGTCTTTGGCTTTTTAAAGTGTCTGTTCTGTTTTTGAAGCATGCTCTGAAGATGCAAATTTGTTTTTTGTTGTGGTTTTATACATGGTTTTGAGGACCCTGGTAAGCAACAAATGCATGTATTGTTTTTATTGCAATAATTTATACAATGGTGAGCAAACAGCCTCATTTGGAAAGGAAAGAACATGCATGATCATTGAACTGAACGACATACCTGCTAAACTTAAGAGTAATGCTAGATGAGGCAAAACTGGTTGCATCTAATTACTTCTGTAATCTTCACCCTCTCACCTGTTCTCTGCCAGATGCCCACAGATTACATCATGTAAGCAGCTTGGCATGGCTGGATGAGCACACCTTGGTAACGACATCTCATGATGCGTCTGTCAAAGAGTGGTCTATTTCCTACAAATAAAATGCCTTCAAAACAGGAGAACCTCATCAGGGACTAGAACTACTGGAGCGAAACATAGCATTTCTCTTTCTTAAAAATTAGCAAATCTGTAATGACCTTTGGGTCCTATAGCATAGTCTCATACCTTTGCAGAGAGTGTTCATATCTGTATTAAATGACCTTTGAAAAGCTTTAGTCGGTAATGGTTTGCACATGAGAAGCACTTAAATTATGTCTGGAGCTTATATAAAACCTTTGTGTGCTGAACATTCCAAGATCTGCAGCCTAGTGGGCTGGCATCAGAGTTTAAACTGATTTGGTTCTTTATTTTTTAATATCGATGACACACCTACTTGCACATGGTATTGTACAGCATGAGAGAATTCTCATTTTTTCTAATTGCAGAACATTTCTGTACTAACAGTCATAGTAAAAATGCTAGTTGTGATCCAAAAATGAATCGTGGTGTGCAGCTACTGTATATTGGCTTATCTGTAATGCACCAAAATAGTTGCCTCGAATTTCATGCACCAGACATCAAAGTGGGGTACATCCATAATAAACTTCTCCTGTATTTCATGTCCAGATTTGTAGTTATTTTTAAGATAAAAACGTGGGGGTTTGATGTACTTTGCCATCCTTTTAGAACTTAAAGTTTACAGATAAATGTGAAGGCATTTTTCCAGATATACCTTTGTTACCTTTTTGAACAAATGAGAATATTTGATCATGGTTTGTTTGTTGGGAGAGGGGTGCTTCTAGATCTGCTTTAAATATACCTGTTTCGTAAGAAGAAATATGTTGATGTAAGAAAACTTGCAGTAATTATTAAAAAAAAAGCCTTTTTCGGTACAGGAATTAAAATGAAATAAAGCATTATTGTGAGTTGGGCTTATCATTGCAAAGAGTAGAGACACGTTTCTGCTTAAGAGACCTTTGTCCCAGTGAAAAGCTTTCAGATTGACTTGTCTTCCCACGTAACACATTTTCATGCTTCTTTCAGTGGCTGGAAAAGAAAATATTTAGAATGGTGTGAGCCTCCCCTCAAAACATCCTGTTTGTTTGTTTGTTTGTTTTCTCCCACAATTGTCCTATGCATGTGTTAACAGCTGTGATGGGAAAATGTGAGCAGCAAAATGCTGTGAGACTGCATCCCTAGCCCAACCCATGTTCTGTGGCTTGCGCCAGCGTCCAGCCACCCTGGATTCTGGATTCTGAGTCTCCTTCACCAGCAGAAGTAGCAGTACAACAGGGTGAAGCTGACTTGAGTTGCACAAGGACGAGGCAGGGGTAAAGGCACAACCCAGCAGCCCTTTTCTATTTGGGATGCTCCTCTGCTGCTACCATGCTTGAGGAAGGCTAATTTTGCAGCAACACAAGCACATCTAGATATTTTCTTCTGCTCTCAAAATATTTTCATAAAGAATCCGTAATCTCCCCAGCTCTCACCAGGACAAAGAAAGCAGGAACAAGAAGAGAGGATGGGTCATAGCCATTAGCTGGAAATGCTAAATGCATAGGTTGGTTGGCATGACACAGCAACTAATCATGGGTTAGTTATTATTTGCCACAGCACATATGGCCACTATTTTGAATATGCAGAGGCTCACAGAAGTTAACACAGCTTTTGACTTTTCCACATTTTTCATGTAGAAGATTCCAAATGTTTCTTGTAGCACAAATGTAAACAAAACAAATGGTATGACTTCCAGTCAAGGCATACAGGGTTGCAGCATACTTGGCAAACCTGACCGTGATGGTTTAAATGACCCATGCTTCAGCCAAATTACTAATGCAGGTTTCAGTGTGGATTCTTTAACCCATGATTCTTCTGAAATCAGATTTTGTGAACTTTATTTTGTGTAAAAAGACATCTAGTACAGAAGAGGTGGTATGCAGCATGTTTGGCAGAAAGGTGGAATACCAATTAAAATACATTTTGCTAGTAAAATTATTCAATAAAACAATCATATCTTGCTAGAAATAGTAAGATATATATTGATCTCTATCATAGCCACTTAACCTTTAAACTATGGATCCCATAGCATTGGTAGAAGCAGTTGGGTAACTGATTTTATTCTGGATTTGAATACTTGTTTCAGCATAATTTTTATTATCTCTTTGAAGTTTTACTTAACTAGTGAAATGTTCGACTTCATGACAGTAACACCTCAGTATTTCAAGTTGTTTTTGATATCTGCAAATGCACATGCGAGTCCTGCATTTCTGCAGAGTTGTTCAGAACTTTGCCAGCTTTGGTGCAAAGGCTGACCTCTAATGACAGTATATACGCAAGAGTGTGCCCCACCACTGATCCTCTCTATTTCTTTTTTTCTGACTGCAACAGTAGAGTTTGGAATTTGCACTTTTCTTTGTATATGAACTAGGTCTGTTCTAAACGCATCAGAATTACGGCTTCATGTTTCCCCCAGTGGCAGACATAAATATTTGCTCTTCCAAAATTCACTAAGTTTACTGCAACTGAGCCCTATGGTAACTTGTCTTCGGAACTTGTCTTCTATCACATTAGTACCTTTAAAGGCATTGCATTCAGTTTCAGTACCTTTCAAGCTCTCTGTTTTTTCCTCAAACGTAGGGGGTCTATTTCCTTCAGTCATAATTGCCACAACTTGATCCTCAACAAATTTTCCTCAACACCTTTTCGTGATGTTGCAACTTCTTGACACCACTGTCTCGCTGGATGTGCAAGTGATAGGTTTAGTGCTAAAGAAATTCAAGACCTCCGTAGCTCAGTGCTAATGTCTTTTCCCATGCAACCCTTTGTTGGGAAACATTTCTCAACATGTCTCTCATCACATGTTTCCTGGGCTTGTCTCTCTGCCAAGTGAGCTTCTGTAACGATTGACTGCACAGGGGTTCCTGAAAGGTGGGAAGATCTAAGGGGAGTCCTCTTCCCTGGCCTAGTTCCCACCACTCCTGCTCAAAACCAAATGGGAGGACAGGCATGTATTTCACAAAGAGGTCTTGGTTCAATGCTGCAAAGTATAGGGATAGTAAGTCTTGCAGCAGGACACCCTCTTTACTTGGCTTTCTTAAGTGGGAATTTTACTCTTCCTTGTCACAGCATAAGCTGTGATCCCTGAGCCACTGGTTCAGACTTGCTGCAGCAATTCTTGTCTGATGAAGTTGGAGACAGTTAGGATGCTCCAGCCCAGAGCGTTTACAGAATCCACAAGATTCCAGAGAATGCTTGCAACATTTGTGGTTGGCGTGGTTATCATGCTCCTGAACATCATCTACCACTGACTGGAGCCTTGGGCAGTCCCTTGGTATTCTAGGGACTTAAGGGCAATGAAGCAAATATGGAGATAATGAGAACACAAGTGGTGGAAGACTTGGGATGAAGCAGATCAAAGAGTAGTGCTCATAATCGACCCTACTAAGTGGCTGTGATGTCAACAAAGTTCTTTTCTGATGCAATTGCATTCTCACGGACAAGTCCCCCTCTTCCAAGTAAGCCAAAGCCTTCTATCTGCTGATGTAAAGGAATATTGGGATGCTATCTGTGATATGTACTCTGTCTACAAAAGAACTTGCTTCAGCCATTACTTGGATGCAACTACTAAACTGGAGTTTCAAGAATTTTCCCTGTGTTGCTCAATGAATTTCTGTTGAAAGATTTGTTGTTGAGGCCTAAGGACACAGATAATGTGCTTTGGCAAGTGCAGCCTCCTTGGTGTGAACTTGATTCTAGCCCCTCAGACAGGGAGCAGTGGACCAGCTGGGTCCGGGAGAGGCGCTTGCCACCTCAGATGAGGCAGCTACAGCCTGGGAAGGGCTGTGGCACAGTGGGCAGAGGCTTGCAAAAAGGGGACACTGACTTGGCCAGAAACAATGGCAGCATTATTCCTTGTTTCAGCACTGTGCATATTTCCTCCTCTCTTTTTAGCCTCATTTGTGCCTGCTGTAGCTGCTCCTCTATCTTCCTCTATTGCACATTGATGGTGCGAGCCACAGCCATGTTGCTCCATCCAGTGACCACAAGACCATTTCTATCCAGACATAACCCAAACCCCACTTTGGTACCTGCCAGTTTCTGGTCTGCCAACCATAATTTATGTGATTCTTTTAGTCTGCAATCCCATAGCTAATTGAACTCACAAGCCGCCAAGAGCAACTTACTTCTGAATGGTCATGCATAGAATTTCACTGTCACTTGTTAAGATGTTATTTATTTCATTTGGTGGCAAACATCCTTGCAGAAGATCAGGGTTATTCTTATGTGGACTATTCACTCCATTTGCTTCATTATTTATGTGTTTGGGATTTATAAACTGGCCTTCGTCAACTGATACCATGAAGAATACATATGTAATAAAAGCAATCTTGATTATATCTGAATACAGGTAAGCAAAAAATGGGAATTCCTCTCCCTTCACCTGCCCAGGCTGCTGGAAGCTTCCAGGCCAGGGGGTGGGGCCAAGTGAGGGAGCCATGTCTTCGTGGGTGGTTGGGCACGCTCAGCAGGCCGGCGTGTCTCTGCGGTGTCTAAGGATTGGTTTTTCGCCCTGTGAGCCTTTTCATTTTCTTGGCTGTTCAGGTCTCGATTGCATTTGCTTGTTTCACTATTATTTTCTGTTAAGTTTTTTTAAAGTGGGCTATAAATATTTTTAAATAAAATAGTCAATAATTATGATTTAGGAAATGTTTCTGTTAAAGATTTTCAGAGGGGCAGTTGTGCCTTCTGTTGCATGAATTTCATAGTAACTTAAAGACCAAGCAGTTCATAAAAGCATCAGCTTTCATGGCCTAGGTGCACTTTATTAGAGGCATCTGAAGAAATGGACCCTGATGCAGTGGCTTCTTCTGCCATAATGTATTTGTTATTCCTGAAGTCTCCCCAGCAGTCTTCCCACACCATACATTACTTGCAAATATTTGGCAAGGTTTTCTTTGCTAACTATATGTTATTTAAAAAATAATAATCCATTTAACTCTGGTGTATTTTCCAGGGCTTGGTAGCTGCTGCTTTTGCTGCCCAAACTCTGAAGTTCTGTCATGCGTTTCTTGTATTTTCTATCTTGGCAGAAACTTTGGAGAATAATGAAAATGCCCCTGAATCTGGGCAAGGGTAAAGCATAAACATAGCATTGTCTGCCATTTCTGCATTTTTTTGTGTGCTAACTCAAGGCCCCCTCTTCTCTCTAACGGTGTAGTGCCAGCCAGGGCCTGCATGGTTACTTGGCCTTTTTTATAGCAGGGATGATGACTTCAGCTCTCTTCCCATCCCCTCAGGTTCTAGCTGCCATCCCCACGGTTGCTGTATGCTAAGTCCATTGTCCCAGCAATAAGACATTTGCTGTGATTTATCTCTGTTGCAATGCAAAGCAAAGAACAACCATGTAATGAAAGCAAAACTATACAAGGCAAACAAAAGAACCCCCATTAAAAAGATTGCCCGAATTTGACATGGCAACATTCTGGAAGCCAAGTTTGCAAATATAGATTAGTCTTTGTGGGTTCTGCAGGTTATCAGTAGCTATGTTCTATGACAGAATTTGTTGTCAGACCTGAACATTAACTGTGTTTCCCTGGATTCAAGAAAACATGGCTTTATGTGTCCAAAATCATGTGGTACAAACTGGGTTGGAGTATGTTGAACTTAAATGACATGGGGGGCAGGAGCCTTGTGAGACACATAGGCAAGTGGCCGCAGCACCAAGCAAAAGTCCTTTTGGTGGACAGGGAGTGGAGGAGCCTGGAGAGGCCAACACGTGAGTTATCCCGAAGCTCTTCAGACTCCTCCGCTCCTGCTCCAAGACGCACTAGCTGGATAGACAAAGAGAAAAAAGAAAGCCTACCTAGTGAAATGTATAGACAAGACAGGGAGGATGACATCAAACCTCTCCCTTTCCCCT